TCACTGATTGATTTTATCCTCAACTGTTGAAAGGTCAAAGATATATTTGTGGTATGAGAAATGACAAAGCTAAATTGCAACTGAGACTTTGTTTCGGAATAGTTTTATAGACAATATTTATTTTTATATATTGTATATGAACTTTGCTATTTAGATTGTCTTAAAAATCAAACTATTTGAAGTAGTTAAAAGATAAAAATAACAATGGAATTTGGTTCATTATTTGTATGCACGTAAAGGCAAGTCTAGGACATGTATAATCCCAATTTAAACTGCCCAGTTTCGCTCGAACTGAGTGAACCACCACCAAAGCAATTACTGTAAATTGATTTTGTGTAGATTTGTGTACTATTGTTGTGTTTAGATATGATTAATGAATTGTATGTAGGAATGTCATCAGGTTAATATTGATCAAATAGAGGAATTAATGGTCTACATCAAGCTTTGATTTGATCATGGTATCTTCAGAATAAATGGGATAAAGATAAAGATATTAGGACTTGTTAAAATGTTTATGATGGCAATCAATTAGAACCAAAAGTGAACAGACTAAAAAATTTAAAATTTCAGAATGATCAAACATGTTTGTTTGTTCATTTGCTTGTTTGTTTGTTCGCAGGGATTTATGTCTGCTTCCACCTTGGGTGATATCGCAGACAATTTTTTTCCTAAGGAACTAGCAATATAGACTTGTACAAAGTCAATCGTTTCCATTTATTTTTCTACATAGTCCCCTTTGGGGTGTACACAGTTTTGCCAATGATGTTGCAAGGCCTGGATCCTGTGAGGAAGAAATCTTTTTTCAGCTACCCTACAAAAATCGTCCATAGCTGACATGACATCATCATTGCTAGGAAAATGACGACCAGCGACTTCCTTTTTCATATTTGGAAACAGGTGGAAGTCTGATGGGGCCAAATCAGGCCCAAAACTTTTCAAGATCTGCTTCAAAATGGCAGATTCTTGGGACGTCAAGGATCTGGCACAAATCTTATCCACAGTCAAAGCTTTGGAACCCTTCTTGCAGATATTTGTGTCATTCCTAACTTGTTGGCGATAATCTCACCCTCTCATCAGAGATGCCCACAACACTGGCAATATGTTGAGTGGTCAATCGTCGATTAGCCATCACCATATTATGCACCAGTGTAATGTTTTGTTGAATGGTTTATGTTGATGGCCTTCCAGGACGTGGGTCATCGTCATGGCTTTTCTTACCACACTTAAATTCTGCAGCCCACTTCTTTATTGTGGAAAAGAAAGGGGCATCATCCCCTAAAGTGGAAACCTTGTCAGTATGTATCTGTGTTGGGGTTAGTCCATTCAGTTGTGCAGGTACTTGATGACTGTCCTATAGCCAGTTTTGTCCATTTCTGGTGATTTCAATTGGTATGTTCACAAGATGGTCTGGTACGAAGACAATAATATCACTACAGTTACAGTTCTTATATCTATGATTCATTCAATGATTCTACTTGTTGGTGGCAAAAGTTTGTTTTAATCCAATTGATCTATCCATTTCGGGATTAGAACTTTTCAGCCAGCCCTTGTAAATGAAATTTTGTGTTGGAAACTATAACTGTGGTTAATATTACCTGATACATGGAAATTAGGCACCGGTCAAAGACATTGTCAGGCACAACCCCACGGGTGCTTGTCATTTTATCAGGGCTCAGGTTTATCTTTTTTCAGTGCTTTTAGTTTTAGTGATACTTTTAATACAAGTCATTAATACCTGATAAACTGAGCGCCATGGAAAACGCATCACTTAGTTTTTCGTAAACATATCTTATTTATTTTGCTTCTTATTGTGAACAATATTCAAATGGGAACACATCAATAACAACACATTTGTACACTTATGGATGTTTAATCTGTAATCAATGGTACAAAGTCAGAGGGGTCAAAACGAAAAGTACGACACAGATGTCAGTAGCGGGTGTGTCCTCCACGGGCTATTATGCATGCTGTGCAGCGACGTCGCATGGAATTTACCAATTGTTCCATTCTTGGACAAGAGCAGCTTCTAAAGCAGCAATGGTGTGCATCTGTGGTCTCCGATACAGACTGCATCCAATCTCATCCCAGACTTGTTCTATCGGTGCCATGTCCGGAGACATGGCTGGCCAGTCCAAGACCTTGATGTTGTTAGCAACCAGGTAGTCCATACGGTGATGAAATGTGAAGCCTCCCCACACCATTAAACTTCCCCCACCCCATCGATTCGTTTCGAAGACGCAGCAGTCTGCAAGACGTTCCCTAAGACGTCTCCACACACGTTGACGGCCATCAGCGTGATAAAGATGAAAGCAACTCTCATCACTGAAGAGCACACTTTGCCAGTCTACTCTTCTCCATGTCTGGTGTCCTTGAGCCCATATCAAACGCCGCTGACGGTGATGATCCCTGAGGATAGCTCCAACATAATGTCGTCGTGCACTGAGTCCTACTTCTCTTAGACGACGTCTTACGGTGTTGGCACTTACTGGTCCTTGTCTTCCGACGACTGCTGCACCTCTTCGAGTTGCTGGGCGGAATCTGTCACGCAGATGATTGACCCGGATGTAGCGGTCTTGAGTCTGGGTTGTAACGCGTTGTGGACCAGGACGTTGACGGTCATGAACTCGAACACGTTCCACCAACCTTACAATAGTCGACTGATGACAATTGAAGTGTCTGGCAATTTACCACGTGTAGACATGCCAGCCCTGGATATTCCCATGGCTTCATTTCGTTGATTTTCAATAAGTCTCGGCATCTCTAGCTCGATTCCTTCACACGTCCAACAACAAATTACGACAGATTGACGTTTCACAGTTCATGTACTGCACATAAAGTTGAAAACATGCTTTTAAAGGGCTCACACACAATGCTGCATGTGAATATTGGGTTTTTCATGTGCACACGGGCCGATATTTTTTGAGTTTGGGTGCATTGTGTGAAACAATAGTTCATAGTATTGCATAATATTATACATACAAAACCACCTAGTAATAAAATATTTGGGAAAAAAAAGTGATGCGTTTTCCATGGCGCTCAGTATATTTTGTTAGGTACAATTATTATTTCCAGACATACTAACAAGAAATTCACTTTGATGTTAAACTATCAAAAGGTGATGTATAGTAGAATTGTTTTGATCAGACAGTAATTATAAGTGACCTTGAATCATTTCCTAGAATCTGACTACAGGCTTGGGATGAAGACAATTAATTTACTTGTTAATGCAACATCCTATCTTACAGACATAACATTCCATCCAATAATTTAACAGAAAATTAAGATTAATTGAGGGGATGACTAGACAACTACTAAATGATAAACCAGTGAATTGGAAGAAGTCTACATTTATTATTATATTTTTGTTGTCTGATTCTGCTACTTATGCTGTCAACACCTTATTATTGTCAATAGAGCATTGACCTACATGTTACATGTTCATGTACAGGTTTATTCATCACCTATAATGTGTACTGAAAATCTGATTGTTTAGTTCTATCCCGAAACTTTTAGTTAATCAGAAATATCAATATAAAAAGTCATATCGGTGATTTGACCAGTTTCTCTAAGGCAACTGATGTTTGTTGTTTAATAAAAATTCAAAATTCAGTAGTCACTTCAAAATCTTTCCAGACAGATATTCTGATGTGTCTTAAATTTTCGAAATCTAAATCTAAAAATCTGTTATTATAAGCTTATGACTATTTCCTTCATTCTTTCTGTTGTTTGTATGCTCAGGCCTTCTAACTTCAAAAAGGTTTTGGTTGTTAACTGAACATCAACAAATGTGTCAAAAAGTTATTGAGAATCAAATGTATATGATAAGAAAAACAAATTCTGAGCGAATACAAACAATACGAAGAATGAAGGAAATAGTCATAAGCCTGTCTAATAACATAGATTTTTAGAATTAGGTTTAGATTTCGAAAATTTAAGACACATTAGAATATTTGTCTGGCAAGATTTTGAAGTGACTACTGAATTTTGAATTTTTATTAAACAACGAGCATCTAGCAACTAGCGTTAGCAATAATTGTATCAATGGCTGGTACATCTATGCATTGCCGAAGCATCAGTAAATAATAACAGCACGACTACCATTAATGCAAAAATTCCTGACAGTCCTCCTCATTTAAACTGATGATCATTTAAATTCCAACCATATTGAGATTTGATAATTGCTAAATCAGAAAAATATATAAAATAAAACTATTTCGAACTACGATTATCAGTCTAAATGTTGTATGTGTACAGCTGTGTCTTTTTTGAATAAAATATCAAATTCTATTAACATTTATTACATATACATTATGGGTGTAAATACAATAAGTATTTTTATGGATTTATTTAAAGCACCTTTAACTGTTGGTTCACTAGAAGAATGCTACCAAAAAAAAATAGAAACTCTTGTATTATTTAATCTTGTTATATTTACACTCAAGTAGAAAAACATGAAATAGTGATATTGATTATACAGAAAACTGAAACATTCCTTCTATAGTTATTTTATTGACCATGAATCTTCCATTGAAATCAGCGCTAAATAGAACAGCCTGTGTTTTTATAACTTTAGATGAACAAATAATAAAGGAAAAAGCAACTTTTTTGTAGGTGTGCTATTCTTGGTTTTAAATTCATTCAAATAAAATGAATTTCACTTGCGGACAAGTTTGACATTTACTAAAAGCAGTTCTACACCATTATTGTAGAATGCTCAGAAAGAATGTTTTTAAAAAGTTATCAATGTTTTTCTTGTTGCACAACATTGGAAAAACAACATCACCTTTAACATTCAAGATGGATTGAATATAATATATGTATTTAGTGGGTCCTTTACTTATTTAAATCTATAATATCTAAGCTTTTATGAATAAATGAAGGTACACACTATGTAATGTGCAGAGCCGATACATGCAACTACAGATCAAATTTTTGGGAGTAAAATGTACACGTTTGTTTTATATATGTTGAACTTTTTATATCTATTATTTGAATTTCAGCCATGGAAGATACAACTCAAATCATCCTGGTGATCGTGTGTTCTTTAGGAGCGGTCATGGGGCTAGTTATGGGTAGTGTTGTCTGCTCATGGTGCTTTGGTAAAAAGAAAAAAGGCGAAGATAGTGATGAAGAGGCTTTGGCGAGGAAAATTAAAACTGGGAATTCTTTAGATGAGGAATCTGGGGATACAACAAGATTTAAATCAGAAGGTTCACAATCATTCCAGCAGACGCCAGGATCACCGGCCATTACCAGAAATACAATCAAGTAAGTCGAGTAGATTTCCTTTCCATGATTCTATTACCGACAGTCTTACTCTGTACTTTCTTTTTCAATTTAACCGTTTTACAGACTCATGCTTTGCATATTCCAATTCATTGTTTAGGACTTGTCACATAAGAATTTTAAATTTCCGTCTCACAAAAAGATAAAAAAGAGATAAATTCTATCAGTGAGCGGTTTCTTGTGATAAAAGATTTATATTTTTCAGGCTTTTATTTTAAGTCTGTAAATGATAAGGTCAGACATATTTAATCTGTATTTATTTTTAAGCTCATCTTCATCACTGCCAAATGTTTTAATTGTTTATTGATAATAATCTGTATGAATATCAGACACCATTAATTGTTTATACCATGACTTACTGTTTATTTTAGTATCTTAAATCTGTTCTGGAAGACTTTATCAATATAATATTATGTTATAAAATTAGAAGATAGTATACGAAGATAGATCAACATGAAGAATTACATAGGAATTATAACCTTGGATTCTTGAGTCCAATATGCATCAGACATTCCTATTGGTACTGTTGGGGATGTGAAATCTATGCAATATTAATTTGACCTGCTTCAGACTACAATCATCACATCGGTTCACATAGCTGATAAATTTTCATGTATTTATTTAGCAAACCATCGCATATTTTAGGTACAAGTATTAACTTGTATAATATACAAGGCATGGTATGCTGACCCTTTCTTGAAATTTGATATCACTTCATATTTTAGGAGTTTACATAGTTCAAAATGTTTTGTACCTTTGTATTCAGATATGTTTGGACCAGGAACTGACCCCAAAACGTGACTCGTCTTGTTCTTCTTGAAGACAACATTTTTTGAAAAAGAGCTAAAAGGCTCTGCCAATTCAAGTAAGATTGACACAAAACTTGGCATGCTTACCAGGTATTCCATAACATTTGACTTAAATTTTTGATATGACGTCACAATTCTAAGATGGCGGTGTTGACATTAACCACGGTATGTTTGTTCCTGGTCAATATAGTACTGTCATGCTTGTTACATCTGTAAGCATACATTAATTTCAATCATAAATTCACACAATGTAGGTTGTATTTAAAACTATGATTACAAAGATCTATGAAGGGTAATGTAATTAATGTTAATATGAAAGTATAACTCAATTTAGATTATCATAGCACGTAAATACTTGTTCAAACTAAAATAATATTATAATAAGATTTCTGATGATAAATTTTTTAATGTATATTTAAATTTGGATGTGCGTTATAAAAACATGCATAACACATGCTTAATATGCAATTATAACTGATTAATCATTAGATTGTTTTAAATAGAATCACTAGATAATTTATAGTTTTATTCAAACTAGAATCAGATCGATTACATGAGAGTCTATTTATATTAAACAGATCATAACGAATAAGTCAATTGGAAAAATAATTGGATGTTTTTATTGTTTGATGGTTGAGGTAGATGTCAAGAGGATGATATTTAATTTAAACTGTTAGTTTATAGAAGAAATATACACCAGTGTTTGATCATAACATTATTTGTCTCCAGTTTTTACCGAAATTTATATGTTAAAATACAGGTTACCAGGTTACAAGGTTCACAAAATATTGTTCTAACAACAAATGTTTTTTCGAGTTTTTAAATTCAACACAGGTTTTTACTTGGGGGGTGCTGGAAGTATATGATTATCTATTTTTAATAAATGAGAATGTTTTATGATCTTCAAGCCAGATTCATCTAACATAAAACTTCAAATATCATGAGGTTATATCAATTTTAGTGAGTGTTGCAAATAATGGTGTGAAATTGAGTTGACACAGAAACTCGCATCACCATCAACTGGAACTGTAGAGATTTGTCAATCAAAGTAAACACAAAGGCCTGTTGAGAATTCCAATGAAGCAAACTGCAGTGATACAATCATAATATAGTCTAATTCTACATACTCTTAACGTCACATCAGCGGTACATGCCATGTTTGAGGTCTAACTAATGCAGATCGCGCAATAGATTGGATCCTCTGGACCACAAGGGTCTAAGGTATTAATTCTGCGATCAATAAAGGCTATTATATTGGAACAAAATGTTGATGTTTTTCGCCACAGTTGGCAAGTTGTTGTGGTTGGCTAGTATAAAACTGTTAGATTGCGTTCATTAGTTACTGATACAGTCTATTGGTAGTCATGGCTTGGATCAGGAGTGTTTTCAGGTAAGAGGTTTTTTTTCTTTTTAGTTATTGATGCTGAGTTCATAGAAGTTTACAACAACTACAATAAATTTTTCATATTATTAATAAGTTATTTCAAACATATTAGTTTCACAAATTATAACTTAAAACCAAAGAAAAATACAGGCAAATTATGACATTGAAATTAAATGTCAGTGTCATACAAAATAGGAGCAAGAAATATATTATTGGAAAATTTCCAGGAATCAGGAAATGCGATTATAGTCTTCTGTCTTAAAGAAAGTATTACAAGCCAGTAATAAAAACTGGATGTAGGATCAAGTGTGTGTCAACTGTTATATTGTTCTCATCTTTAAGCATTATCAGACCTGTTTAAAGTTTTCACTGAAGATTGTTTAAAACTGACATTATTTGATGGTCCTTAATTTATTTAATTTTCTATTTAAAAGATCTTTCCTTTATGTACTGTTGTACATTACAAGGAGTAGGGTCGCCTGTCCAACCTCGTGGGTTTTCTCCGGGTCCTCCAGTTTCCTCCCACTGCTAAAGAGCCCTAAGCGCAAGCGAATTATTGAAATAAAATTGAACCATGTGTTAGTCCCGAAATGACCTAGTTTGTGTCGAGTGGACATTAAACCCCATTTCTCTGTCTCTCTCTCCCTTTATGTACTGGTACTAAAAATGACTATGGTATGTGTAGGAAATTGTAATAATTAATTGATACTGTAAAACCTATCATTTATTGCCCCACTCCATGCATTAAATACAGCAGTGAAGCTAAAACAAATAACTGGTATCTATTTTGTTATTCCATGAAATGACCTTACATAGCACATGTGATCCTTCCTACATATGGATGGTCCAACTCCAGACAAAGATGAAAGGGACTGCATGGAGATAACCATTTAGTTGCTGACTTATCCCAAGTTGCTCACTTTGCTCCAACTAATTGAATACTGCAGCAATCACATGGATGAGGGCTTAGACTAAGACACTGTCTGACTATTACCCTTATCAAAACAGCACTTTCCAGAATCACCATTAGTTTACTGAGGATACAGCCGGTGAGATTTTCTCTCATGAGAGAAAATTTGATCAATGTTCTCGCAGGGTGACTTATGGCTCTGGTCCATTGCAATTGTTAGGTGAAAATTTTACAAAAAGCTTGGTGAAACGGACAATATATCTCTGACCCAAACCCCATGTTCTAATTCCTGCTTCTCAAAAACCAAGCAATCTGGTGTTGAAAAGTTAAACATTTTCATTTCCTTTTTTACAAATGGTTATTTTTCACACCTTATTTAGTAGATAAATATTTAAGATTAATATGGCACTTGAACTGCTATATAATGTTTGTTGCATAATAATATATCACAGTATTAATCTCAGCAGTTGTATAGAAGGTGTCAATGGGGGTAATTATATGCTCTAGAATTTATAGCAGCACTGGATGAGATGCTCTGAATAATTTACTAAATCCTGCCCATTATCCTTGTTAACACCTATTAACATAATCTTGAGGGACATTTGGTCTTTTGGAAATAATGAATATTTTACAAGAGAATCCTGGCTAAATACACATTAATCAAGCCACAGGCACTATGCATGACAGTTCACAAATCTTTGAGGGTTATCAAATTTACAGCAATAGTATTATAATTTTGTAGGTTTGTCAAAATGGCTGATCAAATTATTAAAAACTGAAAAAAAGATTTCCTAAAAATAAATATTCCATGACAGATTAAACGAGGACAAAAATATTTCTTATGAGGGGGATTCCAAATCATGTTTGGGTGAAATTATTTTATCAGGATGGATTGAATACAGTACTGTTGCTTTGAAATTAAGATCAAATAGCATTCAAAGAAATGACCTTCAGATCAGGTTTCTAAAGGGATAAATAAATTTGACCATGCATATCCATTGTTTTATATTTCTTGTTAAAGATGAGATCTAATTCTTTTCCATGCATATTACAAAGCCTGTTTTTCAAATGGACAACAAATTCTGTTTTCATTTTGATGTGATGAACTTGACCATTTACTTTTGAAATTTTGGATTGTTTGTGTTTTTTGTTTTGTTTGAGAAGTTAGTACTACCAATCATTAACGGTTCATAGTAGTACAATGTCTATTAATATAGGGGAAGAAAAGATCATTAAATTAGTACTGGATGATAAAGAAATATTGCCAGATGTTCCATCTGTACTTAACGATGCAATTCACCTGAAACATGTTTTTTCTTTCTTATTGCGTCTGTTTGTTTTCTTTTTCATTAAGTTTTTTTCTGCCTGACCGGATGTGCTTTTTATGGGTACTCTGGTTTCCTCCTGCTTCTATAAAGTGAATTATTCAAATAATAATATACCATATAACTGGTATGTTAGTCCCAAAACGATCTGGTTTGAGTGGTTGTTAAACTTTTTCCTCCCTTTTTTCTTCATTGCAATATAGTTTGTGACTCCTGTGGGTGACCCCTTCAACTAGTTAGTGCCAAAATGACCTAAGTAAATTAGTCATAGATTTTATATCTTAGACACCTTAATGTAGAGAACCAATTATGATTTCCAATACTTGTTTGTAAAGTTGGCTTTTTTTGTACTAAATAAATGTAATGGCACATGATGTATATAGGAAATTGAACTTTAGATTCAGTTCTAATCATTTGTTTTTGTCTCTGTGTCAATGCCTAGAAGATATAGACTGTTTTTACTGTAACCCTGTAATATGTTATTTATTTGGAAATAATGACATATCACTGGTTTGATTAGTGTGACCTACAGGCTAAATATATTTTCAAATATG